ACACAGACAACCTCTCGTCAATATGCGTTTTTCGCATTGCATTGCTGCAAAAAACGCATAATAGAACTGTTACAGCAAAAATGAGCATTTTAGGAAAGTAGATCTAAAACTTCTGGAGAAGTTGGTGGTTAGCGTGCAGAAGATGATCGAGCGTGATAAACTGTGTTTCCCATTGATTGAAGCTTTACGTACCGATACTACTGAAGTTGCTACAAAAGTAGCACCACTACCGGATCCATGGAGCGATTTTCAACAATATGCTATAAAGTATTGCTTTTTATATTAGTATTTTTGTGCAGTAACATTATTGTGATAAAGGCATAGGAATGATGGGCATACGGAAAAGCAGTTTGTGTTTCTTACTAGGGCTTATTATACTTCGAAAATCTAAGAATTTCTAAAATTTTGTGACTTGTCTTTTTTTGCCTTCGTTTCATCTCCTGAACGAATTACTAGCTCAACAGTTCGGCAGGCTTTAGCAGATTTGAAATATCATTGTCGTGAACGGACCCCCCTTTGCAAAAGTCTTCGTGAACCAACAAGGAATCGAACCATTCCCGTTCACATCTGGACGCGACGTGCTATGCACTACACTACAGGCCCTTGTGCTGCCGACCTGATAACTCATTTACTGTGTCTTTGCCTTTCAAGACAGAATACACCTTTCTTTTTCTGGTACCTCCTACAGGCATTATGCATCTTTCCCACTGTAATCTTTACTGGTTTCCTGTTTTCTTTTTCCTGCGATAGCTATTGATTTGTCTTGGGCATCGCCAGCCCATCCCGGATATTATCACTGTTAGACCACTTCTCGACTGGGAGAACGTATTGGCAAAGAAATAAATCAGTTCCTCTCATGCGAAGGTGACAGTATCCCAACACTGGATTTTTATGCGGATTCTGAACATTTAAACTGAAAACAATAGCTTTCGGTCTTTTCCAGGTCTTCAGTAAAAACACCTTAATTTTGATTTTCCTGACTATTCAGAAACTATGCATTGAGATTGTGGCTAATTTCTTGAAATTTCTTGACGTTGCGAAATTTCTTGTAAAGATCCGTCTTTGCTCTGTTACTGTATCTTCCCCTTCTTCTGGTTTTTCGTGCAGTTCTGCTTTTATGTCCTGTTTTTTTTTCAACCAGATCCATGGAGCTGTTTCTTTAAATACTCCAGCTAAATCAACCTTCGTTTCTAACAGTGTGCTTTGCAAATTTCTGAAGACCT